GCTTTTATAACAGCCGTAAGTCTGTTTTCCATTGAGTGGACCAACTTAGAAGTAACATTTGCATCTATTGATTGCCATATTTCAATAATATTTCGTTTTAACACTTCTTTCGAAGTAATAACCGTATTTCTTAATCATCTTTCTACTTCATCCCATAAATGTTCAATGGGGTTTAAATCGGGACTTTGCGGTGGATGTGGCACCACGTGTGGAACATTTTACAATACCCATTCTTTGACTATTTTAGCGGTACGCTTCGGATCATTGTCTGATTGAAACCAATAATCGCTAGGTAAATTCAATTTTGATACACTGCTTTTTAAATTTTCCTGCAAAATTTTTAAATATTTCGAATGTCCATTATCCCATCGATGAACACAAGGTTTCCCACTCCACTAGATGCCATGCAACCCCAAACTAATACAGATCCACCATTATGTTTTATAGTCGGCCGTAGATTTCGCGGTTCTAATTCTGTACCCTTTTTCCTCCAAACACTTTTACGTCGATCGCTACCAAAAACGTTAAATTTACTCTCATCGGAGAATAATACTTTGTATCTTCCGGGTGTACGTGTGTAGTAGAGCATCATTGTAGTGGATAAATAAAGCCTCATCCTTAAATGGTAAGTAATTATTCGTTGCCAGAATTGCAATTATGACAGACGCACGCAATACAATAGAAGTCTATTAATATGAACCTGTCGGGAGACAAATGGGTTCACGTAATCGCATAATAAGAGTTTATCTGTCTACCATCACTGATTAAGATTACTCGTTAATTTAATAGAAGTTCTAAATACAAATGGAGTTTCATTGTAGTCTAATTTTCACAGGGTTTTCTGCTACTGTATGGTTCGACGTAAACCAAGCAGAAATTCTCATGTTTCAAGCAAAAAGTTTGTTACGATTTACCGCGAGCTTGAATTTTTACATTTTTATCTTTGCAAACAAAACAATCAAATACAAATTCCTGAAACGTGTACACATGATAATAATGTGATGCCTAGGGATCCGTTTGCAGCAAGAAGGCGCAAATTCGAACGGTTTATTACATCGATTAATTGTAAAGGAAGTAAATAGAAGTCTAATAAACTTTATTTACGCGTGTTAAGTAATCTTGGTTATGATGTTAAATTTCGTCAATACCATAAACACTAGTGACGACGCATGGGTTGACATAAATTGGTCAATTGGTCATAATTGCTCGCTATCTATAATAATTACTTCAAATAGAGAAAACAAATGGTTCCAAAGTTACGATTAATTTTTGAAGAGTTGAAAAAGTTGATTTCTGCACTATCGCTTAACCCCTTAATGCACAGTTTTTTTGAAAAGGGCCGGCCAAAAAAGATCAATTTTTTTAAATGTAAAAAAACACAATTTAGAACGTTGTCTTGGCAAGAAAATTACAAAAATACAAAAATAATCAAAATTTTTATTGCAATTTTGGATTTTGATAAATTATTATTATTATTGTTATTATTATTATTATTGTTATTATTATTATTATTATATTTTAGTAAAATATATATTGAAAAATGAGCGAATTAGAATCTGAATATGAATACGCTGTCGGAAAGCGGCTCACAAGGAAGAGATAAGTCGTAAGTGATAAGTAGAAAAAGGATATATTTTATACTTGAATAAGTAAGTGTTATAGCTTACAATCCCATGTAAATGATAAATATCAATAAAACGATTGTTTTCTTTTGCTTTCACATCGTTATTTTCAATTCTCGATTGCATTCAAGTATGAAAAATTATAGCAATATAAAGTACAACGCCGCTCGAATTATCTCGAGTGTGCACAGTTTGGCCAGTTTAGCGCGCTCGAGTTAACTCGAGCGTGCACGTTAAGGGGTTAAACAAACATGTCCTGAAATATTCTAATGTGACTTTTGTCGATCGAAAGCACGCAGTTAAAAAATCATTCATTGTTTTACACGCTTTACCTCGCGAGATATCTCGATTTTGAGAGTTGTTTTCACTGTCAAGATAAAGATCGTTGCTGATAAAAAAAAGTAGGTGTGAAATATTTCTTAACAAACTATATACGAAATTTTTATTAAAATCGACGTGTTACATTTAGATGTGCTTCTTTGTTAGAAACACGCGCGTTTCCCACGCAATTATTCTATTTGTGTCTCCTTTCGCCATCGAAACTCCGTTTCCGTGCTATTAACAATTAAAAGTTTAAAGTAAGAGTTCTGGAGCACGCCATTTAAACTCCAATCAGCTGAGTGCTCGACTATATTCATTCGCTTACATAGTTGCAAAGTATGTAGCAGTGCAACCTATGCGTACTTAACTGTTTACGGACTGGAACATTATGAATTAACTTTTATAATATGCTTTATTATACGAAAGCCGCGTGGAAATTGTCTTTAACGCGTTCCGTGCCACGTGTACCATCGATGGTACACGCTTACATGTTTACTTAGTGAACTGAACAAATTGTTTACAAGAAATTTAGAACCGAAGAATCAATTTCCACCGCAAGAATGGGCGTTGATAAGTTTTTGTTACGTTGTTATGTGCACGAGAATTAATAATTGCACGTAATACATCAAGTTTTAGTAAAATATCAAAGTGTGAAGATTCGAGTAAAAAAAGCTCGGCACGGAACGTGTTAACGCGTTGAAAAAACAATCTAGCGACTTCAGTACGTTGAAACGCAAAATTCTCTTAATCTTTGCACCGTTTTAAAGCTGATCCACTCATTGTTACCGTAATTGCAGAAAATACGCAATGTACGTGAGAGCAACGAGGAATTGTTAAAAAGTGGTTATCCTTTTCAATTCAGCTCCGTACCAGTCACCGAAGCTGCAACCACGCGATCTCGGCCGTTAAGTAGTTAATTCTATTCGTTCCTCCGGCTAGCCGCGATTACGTAATGCGACGTATTAGCGGGAAATTTAAATCTTATTACGGTCGGCGAAAAATGTGTTTCCCCATCGAGTGCCGAGCGCTCGTTACTTAAGAGGATTAGACGCGGGGAAAGAAACACCCGATTCTCTTATCATTCGTGCAATTAAAGGAGACAAAATCTCCAGGGTTCACGCCGCCCCTTTTTGCCAAACAAGAACCCCGACTCGCAATTCCGCGTTAATTACAAAGCAGTCGCTTAATCGCGAATTCTGACTACGGGGGAACTCCGTCTCGGCGCTTTACGGGATTTTGGGTACCGCCAGACTTAAATGTACCATCCTGCGTACTGAAAGACTTCCTCCTCCTAAGAGAGGGGCTGCTGTACAAAATATCACGAAAACGTTGTCGCTGAATTGAAGGAACTAAAGGTATCTCGAAGCATCTCTGTTCCTTTCAACTGGTGAGAAACTTATCAAGGGAAACATTGAAATCAAAATATTGTTACGAATTACTACACTTCTCCCGCGTCGCGGCATTTTATTTACAATAGAGAACACGAACTATAAAATACAACTAAATTAAACTATGTTAGAGATCTTTGAATTAGATGGTGTTGATCGCTCGACGGTCCGATCCCGACTCCTCGATTGTCCGTTGATCAAACACCTCCGTGGCGACCCCTCTCTTCTATTTTTCTTTATGGAGTTGCTCACAACAGGGCAGTTTCACATTACAGCGACTTGATTTGGACAAGTCGCCGTAACAATATTATATATCAAGTTGTGTCGGCATTTATAAAGTTGACGCTTACACTTTTCGGGAAATTTAAGGTAAAAAATGTTTGATAAATGCAAATGCTATTTGTGTTGGGACCAAAAACATTTTAAAAAAAAATGAATTTTGTATTTCGTCTCATAACAGAAATAAGTTGACGATGAATATTTCTATGAGATACAACATAAAAAATAATAAATTTTAAATTAAATAATAAGAATTTTGGTAACCTCACGCTTTAATAATCTCTAATAAACGACGAGACATACTATTTACTAATTTTTCGTGGAATTTGTGGCTCTAGTTCATCTCCTAGATGCCCTATAGGAATTAAATCTGGATTCTGAGGTGACTAAGGAGCGCAAAAATACAATTTTGTTCGAAAAATTTTTTAAGTATTTTTGCTGTGTGTTTCGGATCGTTATCATGTTGAACCACACAGGACCTGTAGACTCCAAATTTTTCAATTGACTGAAATAAATTTTCATTTAATAATTCAATATATTTAGCAGCATATATATAATCTGGTATTACCAATTTTTCTGTAGGTGGAGGCGTCAAGGAGATATGAAGGTCAATTCTGTTCTTTTGAATGGAACAGTAAGTTTTTTTTCTTACATTCTGATAGAGTGTTTCGAGGCGAATACAATGAACTATTATGAAGGTCATTCAAGGTCACCCAAAGTGACACAAAAAAGCAAAGCTAAAAAAAAAGTAAAATGGCAAATAATCACACAAATTTGTTTATAAATCTAATCAAAAAGTAATGTCATCTATTTACTTGTGTGCAATTTTTATCGTCATAATGTAAAAGCTAAGATCAAGTCCAATACAACGACCACAACACTATGACCATATGACATTTAGTACGAAAAGTTCAGAAATATTATATTATTCTGTATATTATATTATTATATTATTATATTATTATATTATTGTATTATTATGTTATTATGTTATTATATTATTATATTATTGTATTATTATGTTATTATGCTATTATATTATTATATTATTATATTATTATATTATTATATTATTATATTATTATATTATTACACTATTATATTATTATATTGTTATTCAAGTATTTAATATTATCTCGAATTTCTCTACCATCACATGGATAAGAATTGTTATTGCATTCCGACAATTTAACATCCACGTTCAAGCTAAGTTGAAAGAAGTTAATGGTCGCAGAAATGAATTAGGATTAATTAAAGTTGAAAGGTCGCAGAAATTGTCTCCTACGGCGGTTGACCTTTTCATGCGTGACGATTGATTCGATCAGAGTTTAATTGAACGAGGAACAATCAACATTTTCGAACACTTTGCTCTAGGGTGATGAAAACTCACCGGTATTCGGAGTCCTCGCTGAGTTGTCGTACCGTAATGGGAAATTCGCTGGGCCCGTGCGCCTTCAGCAGTTCCTGCAGCCGCACCAGCCCTTCGTTGTTCTCGTAGATGATGGTGAAGCTTTTCCAGCCCCAGGCTTTTACTAAATCAACGTACGCCTGAAACATACGTAGGTAATCATTCATTGGCCGTGATCGTTGGGCAAACAATGCCACGGGATTTTACAGGAATACTTTCCTCGGTCCACTAATACCGGACTCACTCTGCTCGTTTGCATACGAGATACCGGCGCGATTCGAATTTCAATGGCGTAATGGGTCGTGTCGGAGAGTGCAGGGTGATTGAAAATGTTAGAGACGCAAGGTCTATTCCCAGGCATTTAACGAATTGCTTAACGAATTCCCAATTTGTTAGGAAACTTGGCTCTCGTGTAACGTGTCTTTTCAATTCTACAGCCTTGTTTCTAGTAGATTTTCGCTTTTCGTTCTTAACCAATTTCTTGGTCAACATTACATCTGCAGAACAAGGGGGCGTTGTTTCCGGAGGAATGTTATTAGCATGCTACTGTGTTAGTATCTTTTATTAACCTTTGCGGTACCACATTTGGGTTTTTTCAAACCGAAACCTCGGACCGAGAACTGCCTTGATCATTTGACACTTCATGCTATCTGTCGTTTGTTTATGTTAGGACAACGACAACGAATGTAGCAAATGTAATGACTATGTGATAAAAAAGTACGGAAAGTTAAATGTAATATTATTATTATATAACAATAATGATGATGATATTATGATAATATTAATGATAATATTAATATTATAATAATAATGGGGATAATAATATTATAATAATAATGGGGATAATAATATTATAATAATAATGGGGATAATAATAACAAAATTTTAGTTCAAAATGTTTGTAAGGGGGATGTCCCAGTTTCCGTGCCTATTATCAATTTCCGTGCCCTCGCATTAAAAACGTGAAGAAAAAGAAAAGTTTTATATATAAATGGATGATCTGATCTTTTTATTATGTTTACCTATCTACATGTAAGATTCACAGGAGGAGGTATCAATTTATATATAAATCTTTCATTCTTGTATTAGTTTTAAATCCGGGGGCACGGAAATTGGTAATAGGCACGGTAACTGGGACATCTGCACTATACATAAAGTCGTGGGTCCGTTTGGACCCGAACGTGAGACTGGGTGGGTATGCGAGGACTGCGAGGATGAATATATCTTCATTTTCCCACAGATTGCTTTGAAATTTAAAAAGATCAAGGAAAAACGTTCTCAATCAAGATAAACGTTCTCAATCATTGTACAAGGTTGCTGACACGTAATTACTTTTGTGAAGTACAGTAGAACATTGTTTATTTTGCATCTTGTTTATACGAGTGAATTAATATTCTACCTCACATATAAGAACTCAACTGTGTGAGTATAATAAGTACATATAAGTACAGAATTNATTAGCGGATCACGTTTCTGTATATAATTATAAGTATTATATATTACATATAATTCTGTAATATATAATACTTATTATAACTATTATATAATATACTATATATAATACTTATATATAATACTTATTATAACTATTATATATTACATATTATAAAATACATATATCACATTATAAGTATTATATATTACATATAATGTGATATATGTATTTTATAATATGTAATATATAATAGTTATAATAAGTATTATATATAAGTATTATATATTACATATAATTCTGTAATATATCTGTCTCTTATACACATCTAGATGTGTATAAGAGACAGACGTGTACCATCGATGGTACACGTCTGTCTCTTATACACATCTAGATGTGTATAAGAGACAGACGTGTACCATCGATGGTACACGTCTGTCTCTTATACACATCTAGATGTGTATAAGAGACAGACGTGTACCATCGATGGTACACGTCTGTCTCTTATACACATCTAGATGTGTATAAGAGACAGACGTGTACCATCGATGGTACACGTCTGTCTCTTATACACATCTAGATGTGTATAAGAGACAGACGTGTACCATCGATGGTACACGTCTGTCTCTTATACACATCTAGATGTGTATAAGAGACAGACGTGTACCATCGATGGTACACGTCTGTCTCTTATACACATCTAGATGTGTATAAGAGACAGACGTGTACCATCGATGGTACACGTCTGTCTCTTATACACATCTAGATGTGTATAAGAGACAGACGTGTACCATCGATGGTACACGTCTGTCTCTTATACACATCTAGATGTGTATAAGAGACAGACGTGTACCATCGATGGTACACGTCTGTCTCTTATACACATCTAGATGTGTATAAGAGACAGACGTGTACCATCGATGGTACACGTCTGTCTCTTATACACATCTAGATGTGTATAAGAGACAGACGTGTACCATCGATGGTACACGTCTGTCTCTTATACACATCTAGATGTGTATAAGAGACAGACGTGTACCATCGATGGTACACGTCTGTCTCTTATACACATCTAGATGTGTATAAGAGACAGACGTGTACCATCGATGGTACACGTCTGTCTCTTATACACATCTAGATGTGTATAAGAGACAGACGTGTACCATCGATGGTACACGTCTGTCTCTTATACACATCTAGATGTGTATAAGAGACAGACGTGTACCATCGATGGTACACGTCTGTCTCTTATACACATCTAGATGTGTATAAGAGACAGACGTGTACCATCGATGGTACACGTCTGTCTCTTATACACATCTAGATGTGTATAAGAGACAGACGTGTACCATCGATGGTACACGTCTGTCTCTTATACACATCTAGATGTGTATAAGAGACAGTATTATAACTATTATATATTACATATTATAAAATACATATATCACATTATAAGTATTATATATTATACATTATAATTACAATATATATATAGATACTCCCAAGGAAAAGTTTAGCCCTGTTGTTTGTTACTAAGAATTAATTGTTTTGTTACATTGTAAAGCAGAATAATTAACAAAACAATTAATTCTTAGTAACAAACAATAGGGCTAAACTTTTCCTTGAGAGTATCTATTTTTTTTATTTTCCAGTGAACATTCCAATGGATTTTGTCGAGAAAAATCTAAAAATCGAAGTCCTGAATCTAGGAATGTAATTACAACAAGCCCTGAATTCATTTGCTAAAAATGTATGCGCGTCCAAAATTGACGAATTTCCAGTGTTTTTGAAAGGTTATGTCAAAGTTATAGATTATTAGTGGTTCTACGTTACACGTGCTGCCAGCTAGCGGCGCCACTCATAAACTACGTTTAAAGACTGACTACGCATCAAAATGGCTCGCTAACCTATCAAAAATGCTGGAAATTCGTCAATTTTGAACGCACATAACTTTTTAACAAATAAATTCAGGACTTATTTTATTTACATTCCTAAATTCACACACACACACACAGGACTTCGATTTCTGGACTTTTCTTGACAAAAACCATTGGAATGTACACTACAAAGTCAAGAAAATAGAAACTTCCAAGGAAAAGATTAGCCTAAAACAATCATTTTTAAGAACAACGAATAAAATAATTAGCTCTTAATACATCATAAGCGAGAAACGTCTAAACTCGTTTCCTGCTTATTATTATTAAACCGCAGGAGCCGATAGAACTCGCTTTTACGAGATTTCATTGAGGAGCGGAAAACGTGTTAATACGAGCTTTAGGAGAATAATTATCACGCATCATCTATTGCTCGATGGTGTACTATGTACTTGTCCGTTGCTCAGAAGAAGTCCGCTGAAAAAAGTGTAGAACCGATTCTCATCAACCAAGCCACATCAATGGCCTCGCAGAAGTAGGTTAAACGCGTTTCCTTTATTGGCAGAAATAATCCGTTCCTATTAACTCGAAGTGAACGCAACACTGAATTTCTACGAAACGTGGGACTCGAGTTCGGCCGATTAAAAACATATAACACCTCCTGACTTCCGCCAATGTCTTGCTCCCCCGTGGTCGCCATTTTCGGTTGGGAGCACAACTGCTTACGCTTTGATGTGTGTGCGTGCGCGTGTGTGTATTATTTACGCGATCATGGGTGAGCGAGACGCACAACGGGAGTCAGGAGGCGTAAAACAATCGAGACAAAGTGAAACAGACGCAACAAATGCAAGATGCAAGAGCGTTGACTTATTCCTAAAGCATTCATTTCAGATTCTTCTGATGAACACATGATCATTTGTGATTACTAATTACTAATTAGCATTAGCATTATGCAGCAAACATACTGTACTATACACATATTTTTTATATTTATGTTGTATCATATGATATCTTGAGCCTAGGTTAACGAATCACGTTAAGAATCTCTAGGTAATATCTGGAAACGAAAAAATGAAACATTGCGCATAAACTGCATGACACAAGGGGCAAAGGGCAAGAGAAATCGGTCGCCCACTCTACCTAGCCTCTCCCAATTTTTTTTACCCTAGACTTTAGATTATTATTGGCTAAGTTACGCGCTGAACAAGAGACGTTCCCCTTGCATTTCGCGTCAATTAGCTTATTCGTCTCTTCATTTACCAATGGAAGTGGGGTGAAGCGAGGACTACGATCAGGCGTGCAGGTCAGGCAGAGCGACTGGAAAATCCCTCTTGCCCCTCGGCAGAAACAACGGACTTCTCCTGAGCTAGGGACAGTAGCTACCTGCCGATTCTTAAATAAGTTCAATTTTATAAAGTGATAAAAATCTCATTGTCACTGTTCCGAGATATACTACTGTGATCAAAAAGTAAGGTGAAATTGTCATTTAAAACTCCCGGACATTAGGAAGGCAGGCAATTGTTTTTTTCCTAGGTTGGTAGGACTGTCTATAACAATTGCCAAGCGTCTGTTTGTTAAAAGGTTTAATTATCTCCGAGTTACACGTGTTTTAGTAAACGACCAAAAGTGAATTTTTCGATTTTTACAATGGGTGATTTTGTTGAGCAAAGAACTTGCATCAAATTTTGTTTGCGGAACGAATATTCTTGTGCGGACACGTTGAAAATATTGCGGAAGGCCTTTGGTGATCAAACTATGGCACAAAAAAACGTTTATAAGTGGTACAACGAGTTCAAAGCGGGCCGAGAACGCGTTGAAGACGAACCGCGCTCTG